TATAAAAGAAAGTGGACACGTTCTGAAGTTAGTTTACTCTTCGAACAACGTTCTTCTTATTTTTTGAGTTCTGTGGTTATCAAAAGACTTTAGTATCTCCAAACGTCTTAAGTCATTACACCTTTAGAGAGGGTGGTCTTTACTTTGAACCGTTGACAGACAGTGTCCAGGCAGTGTTAGCAAAAAAAGGATCTGGCCTCTATTCTATTTTATGTTTTTCAACAACAGTAAGACCCTATGCATTCACCCGCTTCTATTAACAAATTTCTTCAATTAATTGTTGATATCGCCATCGACAAGCCTTAGCTTAAGCCTTTTTTTTTAAAGATATTTCCCGTTTCCTTTTCTACTCAATCCTGGTGGCTAGGAACATGAGGCAAGCAAAAATAATTAGGAGACTATTAGGTGTTTTGACAAAACTGACACTGAAGACATGATTTGCAAAACAATGCCCAGGCTCATTTTAGGCCTACAACCGCTTGTTCACATTTTGGACACCAGCCCTTATGCTTGAAAATTTCAAAACTCAGATTTTTAAAATGTTTGGGTATACATTTTAAAGTGACGGGGTGCGATTTCACCAGTACTTGCTAAAATGTGTTATCTGTTTGTCCTACTACGGACTAAAATAGAGATAGACGATTTTCTAATGAAATTATGTTTCTGTTCAATACTACATTCTGCAGCACAACTTTGCAACTAAGTATAATTTTTGCTTCTGCTATCTAGTTTTCCCGTAATGTTTATCTAATAAACTTGTCTATATTAACCTAGAACATAAAACAAACATACGAAACGAAAAAATTATATATATATAAAGCTAATGAGTATGGACGGGAAGCAAATTAAATATATAGTATTTTCTGCTTATAGTGCAGTCACATATGATTTGACTCACTTCTGATAAAACAATAAACACACAGACCGAATACAAGCAATCAAAATTATGCTTTAAAGGCTGCCAGTTCCTGCAGCCCTTTTACACGTCGACTGCACGTGTACCTAGCACTACAATAGTCCTAGCGGCTGCACTTGATGGCTGGCTATTTCAACAACCGCTAATGCTGATATTCTTGTTACTTTCAATATTGTTAATACTGACATCCTCAGTTACCGTCTTGCCTGTTACCACATTAGATTTTTTATTGATCTAACTCAAATACAACATTTCTACCGTTAACAGCACAGAAGTAGCGTTTTTATATATTAACAAGCCAACTATATTTATAGGTATATATTGATATACTCCATCTGTGCACAAGAACGTGCACACATTCACCCTAATACTAATTGATAGATTGAGGAAAGATTGACAACGACGTGCGTCAAGCGCAATACTGGTATGCAGTGTTCGTACTAAAAATATACACACTTATCACACGCGCACATTTAATCGTTTGCAGGCGCACACGTGTACATGCCGTTCCGTACGAAAATTGTCCACCGAACATAGAGAAAGCTACTCACTCTTAATGTAGATTAGTATAATTAGAGTTTCCATTAAGAATTAGACATACGACTTTTAAAACACATCCGGCAGTGTGACATCGAGTTAAAAGTGTCAAAAAATGTAATTTATGTGTAAGATACTAAACAAGCAAATTTCGCCATAGCACTCTGACTGAAAAACAAATAAAATCATTCTAAACGCTTGGGTCTAAGTATAGGTTACCAGTTGAGTGCCTTGGTGTTAAATTCGAATTTTTGATTTTAATAATCGAGTTTATTGTAAATAGAACTGTATCTCGTGAGATTATTCTGTCATTAATAGATCATAAAGAAGAAAACGATGAAACCAACAGCCTTGGCCATCTTCAGTTCAAACAAACTTTATTTATTCATCTTTGCTTTTAGTAATGAACGACTTTATAACAGGTCAATAATACCATATTTCAGTATTAATGAGGACATATAGGACTATTTACGTCGGTTTGAGTTATGTGGATTATACAAATCTTGTCGAATTTGTAGACGTAAATTAACAAAATTGGCGAGATGGCCTAGTGTTGATACTAGAGGTAACAAGCAGCGTGATATCTATTGCAATTTCTCCCGCATCTACATGTATCGTTAAACTTGTGGAAACAACTTGGTTTCCTACAGAGTTTGCTTTTGGAACTCATGCACGGCAAAGCAAGTGACAACACATCTGTTTAATCGGTTCATTCCTTTTCACTCATTATTCATCATCACACTCGAAGCGAAGGGATCCCCATCAGTATCAGCTAATTCTTGCTTCTTAGGGTTCGTCTTAAAGGCTGCTGTTCCTGGGAGCTTAAAGTGACGAGGTAAATCCTTAAATAGCAGCGGTGCGCCAGTTGGGAGATTTCGGCTATTTCGGATCGCTATTAGTAGTTTCACTACTCGCTACTACTAGCTAAGTCGCATCAAAGCCTTCTGCCTCAAAAGAGGCAGAAGGCTTTGATGCGACTTAGCTATTCGAGGTTATCCGCTGTAAGATCTTCCTAAGTGACGGGTGTCCCATACGCTGTGATCGGAGCTACTTTGAGGGCGGACAAGAGGGAAAAGCCACGAGGCAATCTCATCGCCCGGCGGCCAACACTGTCTTTCTGCATCTTTCAGTGACCTGTGTAACGAAATTCCTGCCGATCACAGGGAAAAGCAGCCCCAAATACAGAAACTGGTTTACACAAGAAAGAAACTGCCCGGCAAAATGCACGGCGCCTTGGCCGCTGTCTTCTCTCTCTTTCTAAACTTCATTGCCTCCGTCTTAGTGAACTTTACCTATGTGACCGCATGCCACCGAGCTAGAGTTTGTTGCACTGGGAACCGGCTCGATCTGTTCACCATTAAGTCACCTGCATATCGACTGATCTTCTTGTTTAATCAGAAAGGTCCTTTAACAGGGTAAAGAATAAATATTGGCTGAGGTTATTTTCTTGAACCAGGCCTTTTATCTGTGTGAAGGGCAAGAGATCGGCCATTCCATCGTCGTTATCCTGGTCTGCTGTAGAATTGTAGTGAGCACATTTATAGGGGCACTTACTTCGGATAGCAGGAGCATAACTTTGTCTCTGGGGGCCGAGCCGAAGGCTGCCTTTAAAGCGATAAACACCGTATAACGAACTGCACGGCGTGGTTAGTGCCCTTTTGATGTCGGCCATCAGGATTCCGCACGCCATTTCTGTGGAGCGTTCTCCAGAAATCATGTTGCTTCGTTAAGATGGCGTGTACATTTTCTAAGTAGGTGTTCAATTTTTTAGTAGATAAGCCAAAGAGTAGCTTATGGCAAACATTTTTCATTATCATATTCCCCAATGATAACAGCGCGGTTAGGTTGCTGCTCTCCTCTGGGATCACTAAAAGGGCGGCACCTCCCCAGTGGGATGGGAGTGTAGCAGTATATAGACATTCATTAAATAGTGCCGTCTAAGACGGTGCCAGAATGACGGCGCATTTAAGGTATTCGGTTCCGATCTTATATGCACCGATGACTTTCTTCTTATTGCGTTTGCTCCTAAGAACTTGCATTAGTTCGTGCCTTACCTTATTGAGGGATATCTCGTTGCATTAAGATCCATAGCGAAAGAAAAGCACCGTGCGTAAAGCCGTATCCCTTGATGAAACGAAAGTATCTTCCAGAAGTCATTTGTGAGGGACGAGAAGCTAATCGGGCGAGCAATCAAACTGGCGGGACAAACTCATCAGGACCCTCTAAACATGTTTGAAAGCAGAGATGAGCCATGGCTTATGCTTTCGATTGAAACAGAAAGGCTGCGCTGCCGACTGGAGAATTTCAATCGGATGCTGCACATAAATTTCGGAGTTTAGCACCTCAGATACAGCAAAAACCTCGTGGGTGTCGCCACGGAGTTTGACGTTTGACAGTACACGCAGATGCAACTTGAACAGAGAGGGCTATCGCTGTTGATATGTGAGCATGAATGGTTGCTCCTTCTGACAGGGAATGATTTTCATTCTAAACTTTATCCTATTCCTGATCACGTTCGTCGCAAATATATCGATGACTGAACTTCCTGCATGTCCTGTCGATGCCGAGCTGGGCTGACTATTCAACGTCAGCGAGTGTGTTTAGAAGGGCAACTTAAGTTCGGCTGGTTTAAGCAAGCATTGAAGTCGCCGCCAATGACCAGAGGGGAGACAGAATGAGAAGATAGCAATTTCTGTTCACTGACGAATTTTTCCACCAGTAACGATGTTGATGCCGAATCAATCGACTGAATATAAACTGCTACGAAACTTCGTCGCTGGACGCGCAAGACAATAACGTTATTTTGTAGGAGGCAAGTGAGGTCGCCTATCATATGATCGTCTAAAACGGCAACGCCTTTTCTATGACGGCCTAATCCGTGGCTTTTCTTTGCAGGGCAGTGCACAGAACAAAAACGCGGTAAGTTAAACGGGCTAGTTACTTAGAAGTTTCCGCCAGTCTATACAGCCCAAAATCTCCTGGGAGCGCAACGCCCGAATTGTAGCCCTTCACAATTCCACTGCACAATTCTTCAATCGTACTATAATGAATTAAATGAGATCAATACACTCTAGTGCTTCGAATAGTCCCTAGACTAGATCGGTTCTTATTCTATTTAAAATTGTGGTAGACTGTCCACTTTGTGGGCCACGTTCTATATAAGCTACAAAATAAGCAGCCTTCTTTTTTTATCATAGAAACAACGTCTTGGGCTCATAGATAATTATAACTATAGAATCGTTAAGCCAAATTCACATCTGTATGCCCAGTATATCCGTTTACGTACAACTCAGCGGTTGCCAGAAATAAGAATAATAACATTTTCTAATTTTTTGAGTGCCTTTGTAGGTGACAACGAATTAATGCAAACGAATTGTTTTGTTGATCAACACTAGTTTATAACTAAAAAATAGTCCAATGAGAAAATTACTTACCAATGGTTATGTCTTGCTGTGTCACTAATTTCTGCATAGATCTCAACTGACACATGAGCTCATGGTCGCCAAAGGTGAAGTACACCAAAGGTCTACCGGCCCTAGATTTTATATATCAGAACAGAAAGGAAAGTTATTTTTGTTATAAAAATAACAAAATTACTCAACGACTTTTAGAACACTTCACAGCAATTAATTCACTTTCGTGCGTGGTATCGAAAAATATTTTTATATGCTCATTGAAATGCTGTAAGCGGTCTGCATTAGTCAAATGTTAAAAATTAATTGATCGATTTAAGTGAAATAGTATTGCGGAAGCTAGAAATTGTTAAGGGCACCAGGTGCTTAAATGCTATTCAACGCTATGGGCTTATATGTACCTCGATGCGGCCATCCACTGAACGAGAAACTTAAGCCGCGCATCACCTCCAAAGGCACCACAGCCCCAATTTCCGGTAGCAACCGCAGAGCGGGGAAAGCCCGGCGTCTGGAAGCCACACAATGACTGAAAAGAGGCAATTACGTTAGTTCAAGTGAACTTGAAGCGTGCTGTTTGAAATTTAAGAATTTTTTATTAAAATATAAAATGCAGAGAGAAGTAACCTAATATCGGCTTCTGATATCCGGCTGGTAGATAGATCCAAGTAATTATGTAACACAAAAGTAAACTCTGGATAGGATAACTCTATTTGCCTCCACTGTTCTTACCTTGACAAGCTCTCTCATAATTTTTTCAATTTTGAACTGTTCATGCTGTTGCTTTCTGCCTTGATGCTTGAGTGCGTCTATCGCCACTAATTGCGTATATCTAAAGCCAATAAAATAACGCTAATTAGTAAAGTTTTTCTTAAGAAATACAAGGTTAAAAAGGGCGTCGTAGATAGTAAAAAAAGCAATGTTTGAGGATTCTTTCTTGAAAAACTGGGTTGCTCTAACAAGAACATTTCAGGTAGAAAGTATCATAAACTGGTAAATTTAGAATATTTTTATAAAGATAAAGCGTTTAGTAAGATGTAAAATTTGTAATTCGATAAGAAGCGTTTTAAAATCAGTTACTCACTTTCTACCCCAATGGTCTCGGTCCCGAAAATCGAAAACATTGCCGCGCCACCGGAAATTATCGCTGTAATCTATCAACCCGAAAGTATAAATCAAAGATGATTAAAGCTGAACCTCGTCGCGGTATCAAAATAAACAAGCCAGATCTATGCAGGCTCCATTCAGAAAGCCCATACATACTAGGCCAGTGCGCATCTTGTTTCAATGATCAAAAAATGAAAATAGAACAGACATCGTTAAGCACTAAGTTCAATATGTCAAATCAGCCCCGCAAAATGGTCTAAATGATAATTACCTCGCCTACTCTTATCTCAGAGAAATATGGTAAACAGTCTTATTTTATCAACATTTATAGGGCCGCCTTTGAGGCCGCGAAAATATTTTTAAGATTTTCTGTAATTATTTGATATACGCCTGCATGTGAATCGAGTCATTGGCGTACCTGTGTATTCGTTGAATCGTTCAGGGCCAGTCATGAGAAGAGCTTCATCGTCGTCTAATGCCTCGACGAAGAGTCTGCTGATGATTAATTCAGGGTAGATGACAAACAATATTTCTTCTTGGACACAGCCATCGCAGAGTACGCCTCCGCCAACACGCCGATTAGCAAAGTCCACCTTAAACGACGGAAGCCCAGAGAAACAAATGATCACATTGATACACAAAACTCGTTCTCTCTTTTTTAGGTGGGGCAGAACAAGCTCACTTGCACTAAAGGCAATAATCTAAATATATATAAAAAACAAAATATGCATCACTATCACAGAAACCGAATTTATATTATGACTGAGTTGGAACTATCGGAGCTTTATTTATTGTAAATCTTCGTCCTTCGAAAACTTTTCCTGTTTTCCCACTAGATGGATTCTAGAGGCACTTTACAATTGTAATAATCTAAAGAATTACCAAATTCTTCAAACCTAGTTATTTTGCACTTGACGAATAATAATAATTTACGAAACTGCAATTCATATCGCATAAGAACTAGAAGAAACAACTTGGTAGAATTTGCCTCAAACTTAACGTTGTCCCAAGCAGAAATAGATAAAACAGTTTATTGGTTCAGGAACACTACGGACCCTCGGGCATTTTACCATTGGCCAATAAGAGCAATAATAAGTAACTTGTTAGGTAAAGAGGCTTTATGATATTTTTACCATTAACATGCCTTGTCCTTGATCCTCAATGAAACCTTCCGATGTGACGAACGCCTTTTTAAACTTTGTCGTACTATCCGCCCAACCTATACGGCATCGAAACCGCATGCGAGTAAACGTCAAATTCCCAGTTGGCACTGGAAATGGCAAAATTAGATGGAGCAAACGCAAGCTTAATTAGTTACTAACATACCATCCAAAATGAATTTCGTATGCGCATTCATATATGGAAAAGGAGCCCATTCGGAACAATGTTAAATAGAGAACTCGGAATATTTATTTAGTAGGGAAAAGATTCAGACTAAAATTTTAAGCGCTCCATTTTTGGCCAATTGTTTTTGATTGGATTTATACGGGTTCGAGGCATCCAGGACACCGTTTGACAGATTAGCTTAACTATATTGCTGTAACATCAAAAAAAAATTATCAAAACACGATGACTTAGCTTATTTCTCGTCTTCGCTCAAATGCAATTTAGCTTAAACGCTGGTATCTCAGTTGGATGTTCCTTTTTTATTCAGAGTCTTACTATGGAGTGCAATACAAGAAGCAAATATTGCTTGTACTTTGCAACACTTACTTTCACTAGTGACTCTCTTAAAATAATTTAGAAGGCATTTGATTTTTTCTTTTCGGCAGTCTTGTCTTCCTGGCTTGTTGCAGCTATTGAAGAGAGTGTGAAAATTTATTGTCGGATAAGTGTCGTACTGCGAACCCGGTTTGGACGTGTTACGTCGAGGAAACGTACAAAGGAAAGCATTTGCCAGGAGACTGGCCGCCTGTTGTTGAGACATTGTTACACTGTGCGTATGACCTACGTAAGGATAAAACAAATCAGGCACAATACATAAAATCTGCGGTTTGTTTATCCTTCTACTACATGCAAGCTCTCAGTGTTGTGTAAACTTACATCATGAAAATTAACACGTCTATGGATATGTTAGGGATAATGCTTTTTTCAAAGGATAATGTTTTTTTACGTTTTTTTTTGATTATCTATTCTTATATAGCTTGAACAGGTCTTCTAAATTGCCTTCCAAGTATAAATGCTCGTTTCTTTGCGTTAAAGATGTTTTAGGCATTAGAAATGTTCAAAAATGGTTTGAACGCTCTAGAAATTGCTTTAAGCTAACGGGGTACTGTTATTAACCAATCGATTTATAATAGTGTATAGTTTCTCCATAAAAATAATAATAGTAATATTGTATTACCTTGGGCAAGCAACGGTGGAGGCCGCGTGCAAATCGTGGGAAGATTAAGGGCGAGGCGGACAATACCCGGCAAAATAGTGTTGAAAAAGTCAGCTCTCTCCTGGGAGCTCATTTCTTCGATGACATTTTCTAGTTCATTAAGGTCCCATGAATAACCTCCGTTATAGCTAAGAATTGCCTCCTAAAAACAAAAATGTAACACTCATTCATAACAGATTTCACCATATTATACAGGTGTTGCGCTATCATTTGTGTATAGAAAAGCACACAATTGATACCAGTTTATTAATAAATTTATCTTTAGCTTCAGCTGTCGCAAGTGTTCGTTTTCGATACTAGGGGATGAATACTGTTTGTGTGTAGCTACTTATCTATAGTAGCTTTAATGTGTCAAATCACCTAGAGCAATATTCTATATTTATACGTGGTTGAAGTACAATTATATGCACGTCCTCTTTGCAAAAATACCCTAAGGTCGTCGAAGGAATGCATCGTTTCCACGAGGGCTCTTTGGACGATATCCCATCGAGGAACCACTGTCCCATCGCTGTCAGTATATTTCGAAAATAACGAATACGGCATTTTTACGTGGTGATTGTCCCAACGATCGACGAGTATCGATGGTGCGGCTTTGCAAGGAGTATCGCCACTTGCATCGAATGGACCCTATCAAGCATAAGTGTTCATACAATTAAAATAAATCTTTAAAAAACAGGCAGGTGTTGCTAGAAATATGGTTCAGTGCATTACTATTTCACATTCAAATAAGCGTTTGCTCTTAAAATCGTTCTTCGAGCTTTTTGCTTTCATTTCGGTTCAACCAAAATAATCAAGTGATTTTTTCTGCGAGGATAATTTGGTGAATATTTTAGATACATCATCGACATAAGCTATGGACTCCATTATTACACAATAACGCGATGCTTGTAATCCCAACAACGAATTACTAACCTTCACAAGTATTGTGTGATTTGGCGAATCCTCCATAGCGCCTGTTCTCCAAACGGCGTCCTGTGGAAAGCGCGTCATATCTGACGGTATTTCGCCAGGCGTCTGATTCAAATTTACAGGAAGGCGATAAATCCGCCTTTGGGATGGTGGCGTTTTCCCCGTACGTACCTTGTGCACATTATTCTGCAGTACATTATCAACCGAATTACCTCTATGTATACTTCGAGATTTGCGTTCGCTTCAGCTTTTTTAAACTATGATAGCGACTTCTTAGGATCAAATCTTTTGGCTACCTGTCAGCATTTTTTAGTAAATTTTACCTTCTATCCTATTTATAAACCACCCACCGAATCGTTGAAACTATCGTTTTCAGCGAGCCTTGTCGAACAGGTGCCGCCAGTCGGTGTTACTTCACTATCGCTTCCAGCAATAGTTCTGCTAATGATTTGAGATAGAAACGGAGTACACTTTACTACCGCGCGACCTCCACTCGAGTAAAACCGTTTTGGGCTTTTCGATGCAGCGGACGCATACGCCTGCAGAAAACAAGTGTACAACTTCTATTAAGCTTATGGCGTTATGATTCAAGCCACACAACCGGACCACAAAATGTATGATGTTGTAGCACGAGGATAAGGGAACCTACGTGTTAGTAAAGAGCTACACAATAGATATTTAAATCCGTAATATGAAATCAAAAGGCGCTGATAAAACGAACAATCGGCTAAATTCTACTCCAACAAACACATCGTTGGGCGACGTCTTCACCGGCTAGAAAATATGGCTTAAAAAAATCTTTCTAACCAACGAACCCGTAAAGCTTATAAACTCTTTGCGTAGTATCAACGACTCAGCATCGGTAAGATGATAAGGTTGATATCAATGAAATGGCCAGTTGAAAGAAGTGGCTTATCTACTATATGCCAGGGTGAGAGACTACTAGCCAGTGCTGGTGTCGGTATCGAAACGACCATATGATAGATTTGAGATTCTAGCTAGTAATAAAGGAATTTTGAAACTGGAACCCATGAATAGTTTCTAAGCGAAAAAAATCTAAAGTCAGTCCACCAATTACAACCTTTTCCATTTTCGTGATATCAAAAGGTATTATTAAGTCTACCAATTGAAATCCTTGTCAATTTTATGCCAAACACCATAAGGAGTTTTTAAATTACTTACTTGTTAGTAATACTTTTTGATATCAGGAGAATTGATAAGTGAACGATTCACGTGCCTTTAGCTTGCCTTCATTTGAATTCGCTAGAGTATTTGGATTGGGATAATTTATTTCTTCATTTAGATTAACGCTATCCGAAGAAAATCCGTTGGTGTAAAAGTTGTGTCGAGCGGATTTCCGATATCTCCCTACCGTTTCTCAAATTGAAAGCTAAATGTTGTTATCATTATTGATTCATTTGAGCCAAACTGATCATCGTTATCTTGAGATTTAAGGCGTTTCTTCTCATACCGGGGAAATGTTTCTTTTTAATTGTGATCAAAGGTTCTAGCAACGTAGTAATTCACCCAATGTAGGGTAACCAGGATCTTGAGTCATAGAGAGTCACATGTTTTGAGCAACGGTTAAGAAAAAGAATAGGCAAGCTGTTTATATTTATAGAAAATATTGTTTTTTAATGATGATTTTATTATAACATAGCACCATGAATGCGCTCACTGCTCGCCTTCCACCTAACTCGTTCTATCTAGGCAGTAGGGGAACTTATGCTTATTTTCTGACTGTGAGTTACTTTTACTGACTATTTGCGATACAGTTTGTGCAAGCTTTCACTTTTCAGCTGACTTTATAGCTAACTATTATATGTGCTAAGATAGAAAACTTTATGCACTTTATTTGAATACTGGGTAATAATGAGCCAAGTTACCCTTATGAATTTCCAACACTTTTTTATTTCGTAAATAGATTTTTATTTAGATAAACTTTGCAAATCATATACCCATATGGAATATTATTTCTAGCTTTTGAAGTAGCCCAAGTTGACAAAACCACCGATGTAATGGTTTCCTAAGGAATCGTTTTTGGATAGGTTTTTTAGCTGCTTCACTAGTTTGCAGAGTACTCTTATAATTCCCAGCGTTTGTCAATACTCAAACTCAAAATTTGCCATATATCCTCTATTATCCGTCATTACGTGACCATGTTTTCTCATCTAATATAATCTCTATAATCTGTACTTTTACCCGTTATTTCAACCAGCAGAAAAGATGACAGTATAGTTTGACTTGAAATAAGCCTGCTTAGTTGAACAAAAAACGTTATCGCCCAATTGTGGCTTTACTTTGATGCATAAAGGTATTAAGTATGCTGTGTACAATACATGTGTAGATGCATATTTTGTTTATAGGGCAGTTCTCAAAAGATTAGATGCATCAACATACAGATAACACCAAAAAAAAAGTTTATATAAAAAACGAAGAGGAACACAATAGGGCAATCGCTACGACTCTTTATAGCTTGCATTCCTTTCCGCTGTTATTTGCTAAACAATACTGTCTTACGCTATATATCTATCTCTAAGACTTTATTTTGTCAAAAATATCCTAACAACGCATTTTTAAAAGTGTGTATAGACCTAAAATTGACTTTTAGGAGATAAGTGAAAAATAATTAGATCTTCTGTATAACGCACACATGCTGATACCCACACGTTTGACATTTGTTTGGTAATTCTGAGTATCTGCATTATTCAAAAAAATCTTATTATTTCTAGCTTTGTTTCGTTCGCTCATTTCGGCGTCTATCTGCTCCGCTTTTTCGTCCTTCTTAATAACGTTAAAAAGTAATCGTAAACATCTGTCTTCTTGACAGCTGTTTTTATGGAAAGACACTATATTTGTACTGCTTTCGGTTCTATAACTATTGCTTGCAACTTCAATGTCCTTAGAGGAGGCACTAACCGAATGACGGTCATAGTCCAATGGAGAGTTTGGGCGTTTTCCGGACATATTTTTTCTATCATTACTTGTGACTGTAAGCTCTTCGCCAATAGTTTCTTGTGATCCATCATCGATGTCAATAATTGTATCGCTTTGTGACTTTTGCTCATTGTCATCGTCAAGTTTAAGTTCTTTCATCGACTTGAGGTTTCCTGGTACACTAATATGCGCATCATTACATGATGCTTCACTTGGCACTTCTGAATTTTTCTCCAAAAAATCTCCCACAAAAACCTTTAACCTCTTCGGTGGAGGCGTCTTTGGCGCCGACATCGCAAAACACACAGTAAACAGTTGTAACTCAAGCTGTCAATATCGCATTTTGCACAGAATTTAATTCATCGACAATAAGTAAGCCATGGTTAGCTTGCATACAACTAGATATGTACGCGCAAAAACATACGTATAAACAGTCTTATTACCCTTGAAACCTTTCTCTATGAAAATGTGCCATTTTGAAAAAAAATTAATATGTGCCACAAATTGGCTCTATTTTTATATCCTCACCACATTTAATCAATAGGTAAACTATAATGGAAGAGATAACAATGTATCTATCTTTGTAAGATTAAAGAAATGATGTATTAGACGCTAGCGTTAATGCGCCAGATCGGTTCTTTTGTCAACACAAGATAGGCAGGCTACTTGCCGCCCATATGAGAGTGTTCCATTCCACACGACCAGATCAAACGCTTGAATTGTACACAGAACAACCAACCAAACCTTGTTAATGTAGAATATACACTGCATTATATCTATCTGATAACACTGCACTCCTGATGCCCTACGCGCCGATAAATGATCAATGCTTTTGAAGTTTTGGTGCTAATTAAGCAAACAGAAGTCCAGATCGAACGAATTTTTTTTCGAAGTTAGGCTTCTACCAAAGCCAAAAGCAACATGGCGAGCCGCTTGTGTTCGATCTACAGCGGCTGTGAAACAAAAAGGTTTTTCCAACTATTTCTCTAGTTTAGTAAGATAGGAACTGTGCTTCTCGACTGTTTTTTTATAGGAGACAAGTAGTTTTCTCCAAGACAGATACGACACAGCCGAGTCAAATGGTAAGGTTATTTTATGCGCTCTGATCTCCGAATTTAAACTGGTGTATTTAACTGTGGGCGCCAGTAAGAATATATAGAAAAGCGATCGTTGATCGCATCAACTATTTTTTATATCCGTATGGAACATTTGCATTTTTTACAATATTCTTAATTAAATCGTTGCTGATAGACAAAGATAATGTCTTTCATACCGGGTGATTCGTAAGATTATCCAGTATGCCCGAAATGATGAAATCGATTAAGAGTCTTGCTATGCGCGCTTCGAAAACTGTCAGATAAGTATCACATTTGACATGCTAGTGCTAATTCATGGCTATTAGTCAAGCGATATATCCTTTAAAAAAAAACTGCGCTTTCTTTGAACCATGAGCAGATGTACGTGGAAACAATCGTTGGTTGCAAGCGCCATGCGCAGTACAATCGGGAAATGAGCCCTATAGTTTATGTATAAAATAATACATGTGGTGTTCAATTTGTCAACTCAATTCCTGTTTGATTTTTTTGTGGTCGTAAAGGATTCGTTTACTCCTCTCCCACCGCCGCCAAGTTCACAGCCGACCAGAGACCTCCGCCGCCTCTGGGTTGGCAATCTCGATCAGCGGGTGACAGAGTTCGCTCTCCTCAACATTCTTAAGCCGTTCGGATCTGTCACCCAGTTCGACCTGCTTGTCCACAAAGCAGGTCCGATGAAAGGTCTTCCGAGAGGATATGCATTCGTAACTTTTGAAACAGATGAACAAGCCGAACTCGTATGTACGAATAATCACTTCATAATAGGCCCTTTCTCACAGGGGACAGCGGCTAGTCAGCATTTATGTAGAATTATTGTTTCTAATCATTCCACAGTTTTGAGGCTAGGTAAATTGCAATGCTGTTTTCTCCCGTATTGGCATTGCCGGTTTGATTTTAGCCCATCAATATTAATTTTGACACCGCGATTAAGTGCGAAACGTTTATCATCAATACAGTCAAATATATATCTTGTAAGAACTTAAGCATTATTTGTATTGAGCCTCGTGATAAACCACAACTTAGCTCGACATGATCTTTTATAGCATTCTTGCCCATGATTAAGCTACGTTTTGTATATTGGATGGACAGGCAGTACGTAAACTTGATGGGCAACGGCTTCTAGAGCGTCGACTTGCTGTCAGCTATGCCCATGAAGCTCCGACGCCTCAACAAGGCTCAGGAGTTGGAGGTATTCGGCCAAACATGGTGGTATCGGGAAACATTGCTGGAGCTATTGCATCGTCTTCAGTTAGCGGCAATTTAGTTTCAAAAACCAAATCAAATTCAGGCGACGTGAATTCGCAGATCCGCGCTATCGAAGCCAAGCTTAAGGTGGGTAAATGTAGATCTCGTATTATTTCCTTTAAAGTCAAATGGATAATAGGATAATCTCGTAAATCTTATTTGTATGTATTATTGTATTTATCCTAATTAATTAAAGGCGTTAAAGGAGCGCTCCGACTCAGATCTGACGCGCACATTAGCAGCTACAGCTATCGGGCCAAATAACGGACATTCGTTAAATATCGCGCAACAGATTAATATGGCTGCCGGAAGAGAAGGCCGTCCAGGTAAATTCTACCACTATGGGTCTACCATAACACGTGATTGTTTCTTAAGTATTCCCGATACATCGAGAGATGTTCTTCAAATCTCAAGCGGTGCTACAGTATATATGGCGTCTTTTACATATAGATGTAAATTAGTTTGAAGCTACGTGTGAATGTATCATATATTTACCCTGTCAAATATTATATATTAGGAACAACTGTAATTTCACGATATAAAAATATTCTACATGGAATGAGAGGAAATATATATATGTTATATTAAGAAAAGGTCTGTCACATTTTCCGATCATTAGGGTCGAGCATGATTAGAAATGGCGGGTTTGCAGCAAGACACGCCCATCGAAAAGACTTCTCAAGATCGTCACGACCATACCAGCGACGTGGAAGAGAAGGTTGGCGTTAAGATTTTATTGACCATTCTTCATTAAGCGGCGAGCTACGCGCGTAGTATACAATGTTGACATCAGCAATGGCGATTTTCTGGTGACCAACTTTTTCTATTGAAGCGATGATAAGACGAACGAAAATCCGGCAAATTTGGTTTCGCAAAACGGATCTTTAATCACAACCCAATTCATTTAGGAATATGATTAAGTGTAATGTGACTACTGAGGTAATATAGCTCTTACCAGGATCCATTATCGGCAATTAATTAACTACACGATGGATCGAGGTGCCGGTCGAGAGTTAAATCTCACCTGAATTTACCACCCGACCACAAATATCTGACGCCTATCAAAAAAATGGTTTATGCTTTTTTTTTTTTGTGAAGTTCACGTACGTGTATTTCTTAAACAAGCGTAGAAGAATGCGTAATCATGGTGTATGTAAAAATCGACCACTGTTTCACATAAGATGTATATTTTCCATTCAACGGTCAAAGTAAATACCGTTGTACATACAGATGTATATGATCCCATGTAGATTGAAACACCGACTTTTAACGTCAAGAAATAGACTAAGTCAATGAATGCTAACATGTTTCTTAGTAGACTTGATTGAAGTACAAATCGAGTTCCGGCTAATCTAGGTTCCGTTTATCCTTAGCTCCGTATAGTTGCTAAATGAAAGGATAGGATAGAATTTGAAGCAAAAATATATCAAATTATTCAAGTTGTACATGGAAAGCAGTGTGCATATTAAAGGCACGTTATAAATAGAATATAATATACATTACCCGTCTGTAACATACTGTGTACATAAGTGCGTGCTGACGGGAGAGGCTGCAACATCCATCGCTAGAGCTCACGTGACTTAGTATTCCATCCATGAATTTTTCTCACAAAATTAAAAACTACCGGCAGTTTTGTCGTGCGTAAAATACCTTGTGTAAATAAAGCCTCTATTGTGTACATAAATTGACAATTGTTTATTTTTTATTATAATCTCAAAACATACCTTCTATTGCAGACCCGAGAAAGGTCCTGAGGACTGATATTTTTAAGAGAAGGATTTTCAAAGAATGAAGAGGCAGCGGTGATGCAAACGCTTTTTTAAAAGAAAAACGAGTGCTTCTTTATTTATGGGTAGGTAAGAGAACAATTCGATATTTAAGCTACGTGTCTACAGGGATAATAAACGATAATAATATTAGTAATAAGTGTGTATAGCTACTATAGTCTAAATTAGATGTTTGAATGAAGTAGGCAGTGCTTGTTAAGTGTAGCTCATCAAATAGAACATTATTATTCAGCATTTACATTGAAATTGAATAGTAGAAATGGAAGCGAGGTTCAATCACGAAATATCGCAGACGATTTTTACGAATTTGTGCTGCTCTGTGCAATTAAAACTTGGGCTTAGACAGCATTCTTTTTGGCGGATGAGCTATTAAGACATTAATAAAAAAGACCATACCTTAAACTCATACCTTTAACACAACCGTACTGAAGGTTTATTTAATTACTGAGGTTGACAAAACTTTCTATATCTTCTCTGCAAATGCACTGCAATAATGCTTGTTGGCGAATAAAACCTGGACCCTTTGGTTTGCACGACACCCTTTTCGACATAAATTATTACTGAAAAGATCATGCTAGTTCAACAGTAGACGTAACAGCATCCTTCATCTTTCTAATAGAAAAGAGAGCAATAAAGCCGTCGTCATACTTCAACTAAAGTAATATTGCTAAGCCAAGTAATTACCGCCCAACATAAGTATTACTCGACAAGTTGTAAGGTCTTGACAAGTGTAAATAAAAAGCGCTATTGAATTAGTCCTTGTTAATCGCTCATGCAATTATGTGACCGTAATCTTGTTGTTCAGATCTGTTGTTCTTATGGTCCTACACATCGTTTCGTCGCCGTCCGATGCAATGCTTGAAGGCGATGCCTTCAAGAAGAGAGAGAGAGAGAGAGAGAGAGAGAATGCGTAATTATAACATAAAATACAGATCTAGTTTTATTTTTTATAGCTGGTCTAACTGTGTGTTTGACTAATCTGCCCATCCTTCCAACCTGTAGACACGTCTGGCTTTAAGTTCCTAGCTTTCTCTATTGTATCTCCTTCCTCCTCTGCCAACTACTTTTCTGCCTTCTGCCGTTATGATGAGTTTTCCACATCCCATTCCCACCTCCACTCCCACTTAGACCTCTTATAACGTCTCCTTTATTAATCTGACCACCCTTGATTTCTTAAGCTCAGCTCCCTTTTCCTTCCAAATTATCAACGGAAGCCCAATCTGAACACTTTTTCCAATAATTTTTTCAGACAAATTTTTGTTTTTAAGACATGTTTAAGTTCAAATTTAAAGTGTAGTTATGTTAATGGAACCTTGAAATCAATTTTATCACTTAATTACCCAGAATTAGCTGAACGTTTTTACATTGATGAATGATGTTGACAAAGTACTGATAATAAAGAAGTAGTTAAAAGATACTGTCGGTGAAAGGAAGTCGCCATCGAATAATCGATATGTGACGTGCCGTAGAGATTGCGGCTTTAAGGTGTGACACAATAATGTCAGGTCCAATTTAACTCGAATTTTGTGCGCGTTCACTACTTAGGACAAAGAAAGTGTACAAAAAAAATAATGACAAGTTGATCATCGTCCAAGGAGATTTCAATCCGTCATGTATTGACCACTCAAGTCTACGGATTTAAGCTAAATAATTTATTATCAAAGAGCATTTAAACCATCCTTGTATGTTGAATGGGAAAGCAAAAATTATCGATATACCTTTTACAGAAGTATTGTAGGAATATATAGCGTAATTTGACGCAAATAATAAGGATATCTTTAGTGAATCATCCTATAATTAATGATTTATGTCTCACACTTGGTCATATCGCATGGGCAATATGAGGGACAATGATGCAAAACGACCTGAGTCTGTCTTGTAAATTAAATTTAAAATTACTGAAAAGAAGAACAAAATTTAAAATACAGAACTGACGTCACTTAAATCTTATAATTTTCTTATTGAGTCAACAACAGCCTATGGATTTCCAGAAATACGGTGACAAAATTAAAATTAGTGACTTCGAAAAAAGAAAATTATGTTTAAAACTTGTCCTCAACTATATTTGTGTTCATGTATGAAAATCGTCCTTTTTTTTTGTTAACCCTCATATTTTTGTAATCGGTTGTCGGAGAATGGTATTATACGCAAACACCTGAAGCAATCTGTCGTTGCTCTCGTCTTTACAAAAGGCATCAAATAGAATGTTGTCATCCGTAAATCAGTTTTGAAGCTACTTTTTGACCATATTTAAACTTTTTATCACCCACGGGCTCACCAAACAATGATCAACATAATTATATCAAATACAAACTTACGTCCAAATGATTGATAAATATAGTCCAAGTGCGGTCAGCCTTGCATAACGAGAGCCTCATTGATCTTATATACTTTGCTTCGAACCAATTTTATTTTTCATCTTTATCCTAGATACAAAAGAAAATATTTATTTTCCATAAAACGCTGCAGATATTAAACTATACGGTTTTTTTTATACTTCTTAAAAATAACTTACGTTACAAATAGCGATAAACAAGTATGCCTCACTTGTGTGAGAAAAGCGATATGGTTATTTTCTGTGCTATTTTATGCTTAGAAGATGATTATTTATATATCATGCATGAAGACGTTACCCCCGTCCCCGAGGGATCCTGGCACTATTGTAATAACTACATTACGCAAACAATTCAAACTACTACAATGTTTGTACTTGTGGTTTTATTTAAAAAAATCCTGATTTCTTTGTTAATCTTTTTAAAAGTATAATTTACTAAAATCATTGTTGAAAGTGTGTTTCCATTTAAAACTACACATCAAAGTAGTTCCTGAGTGTGCCAAATGATTGGGCGCATGATATGAAAACATAATATCGATAAAGGAGTTATAGCTTCTGCTTTTATCTTGGCATTTCATGACAATTAATATAGGCGTGTGTTTAACAGTATCCGATAATTTGATCTAGCTTCTAAGTATTTTATTCCAGGTCCAAGTAATTTCAAAAGCAGGCTTATCACAAGTTCCTTACATTTTACAAGAAAAACTAAACACTAGGTTAATTACCCAGCCCATTAGGTATTTAACTTGAATTTGTAAATAATAGTCCCTTCCTTTGATAAAATAAAGGTAACTTAAAAGATATAATGATAACACATGCTGATATCCTCAAAAGTTTTACGTACATTTCAAAAGCTAAATAAATAAACATTGATATCGAGCGTATCTACTTTTATAATATTTACAAATGCAGCTTCCATTTCTACGACTTTCAAGCCAAACGACTATATTTGTCAGTAAGTTTTCAGTAAGTCATCAGTCGTGAATAATAAAAGACCTACTTTCGTCTTTTTTGCTCCATGTTTATGCATAAACATGGTATCTTCTACTGTTTCATGCAGGTCAAACATTTTATTGATATCTTCAACGAACGATGGCGTATTAAGGAATACGTGTATTAGGTAGCTCCGGGTTGAAGTTTGAAAACCGAGTGCTAGTATTGGAAATGCTATTTTTACTCTGCCTGTGAACATTGAGTCTCAGGTGCGTAACTCCTCCTAGATAATCCAGATACCGTAAGCGGCAGCAGGAGCGGTAAAGATTATCTGAGCAAAACTAGCAAAAGGTTGTAAAAATGGAAGAATTTTAGATTCAAGTTACACAAGCCCTATAGCAACCAACTTTACAATAAATGAGCTCCACATCTCGGAACCCAGCCTTTTTATAACAAAATATAAAGTATTTGTAAACATGGGTTTATATTCTAAAAAAAAAATTAACTATGATTTCGCGAGCAAAAATAAGAAGTAGTAATACATATAATATGCAGGTAAACCACACAAACAAGTGTATATATATAGGCCCAAAAATCTTCAGACAGTTGGCCACAGACTCCAACTCTTTAATTCCTTAGAGACTTTCGGTGCACTATATAAATACATGTATGTGCGTTCAATAGTACATCGCCTTGCAATAACACACATGTGTTGTTATTATAATAGAATACAATATGTATATGTGAATGGTAGGCAAGAGCCAAGCGGAGGAGAAGATATCGGATAGGAGAAAGGAGGTGTTCATTGTGGCGAGGGAAGATTAAATTCAGAAGTGGCACGGCGATACGGCGGTCAACCAGCATCACTGGTGGCATGCTCTTACCGAATAGTAGTCACGACAGCAGTCGTAGAAGCCAGGTATTATAACTGCGGAATCGCTGTAACGTTGAGTAAGTGGATTACAGCTCGCTAACCTGGTCGTCGCCTGACCCTGTCTATTAAACGAGCAGCGATTCACTGGGAGCGAACAACTGCCCGACAAACCGGCGGCCACAAGCAACGGTCGAAGCGTAACAAGGGCCCTCGAAGTAGCGCTACGTAAACGTCAGAAGAGGCCGCCGCCAGCAAGCGCAGTAGCATTACTGTGGTGCCCTCCTGCTAATCGTGCGCCCGCGCTCGTCAAGTCTATCCGCCCGTTTGCCCGATTTACGGTGACGATACAAATAGCCACAAACCTGTGAACGACCGACCGACCGACCGACTGATCGCAGTGGAAGCCAATCACCTCATCTCTCATAGTACCATTATAGTCTCACTAGTATCGCTCGAATCGTTGACAGGGACACCTTGAAAAGAAGGGCAATAGCTACAACATTCGACGTCGTTTGCGTTAAACATACATACGTTGAAGGGACACACGAAATCATTGGCATACAAACCTCTCCCTGAGAGGCTTCGAGAGGACACATTTACCGATTGTGTTGTGTCTTTGGAATAGACAAGACGTCTACGCCATCGAGCCGGCCACTAAGCAAGAGCCCGCTTGAGCACTGCAATTAGCTCAGACTGACCTCTCAATCCTCTACCTTCAGCGCGACAATTGCTACCACTGCGAGCGCAACGAATCTACTGGGTTGACAGACATTTTCCATAGCTACGGTTTCATCTCTTTTTTTCGATCTGCGTACCCGCCGTTGGCTCTACCAATTTTGTTTTGCGTGTTCCTATGATATATCCCACAGGCCTTAGCTAACCATTATCGTTGCCAGGACTATCCTCCTTTGTCACATCTCCTGTAATTCACTCTAGCCTGTGCCGGCGAATCGTACGTTGCTATTGAGAAGCAAAACAAAATTAAGCCGATTCTTGCACACCTTTACCTTTCAGAATGTGTCACTTTGCAAAAGCTTGTATGTTCTTTCTCATTGCGTTAGTTGCGTCGGCATGGGCCTTCCAGTGCTATGTGTGCAACTCGAAAAACGATACGGGTTGTGATTCACCCCCACGGGAGGAGTACCTGAAAACATGCGAAGATCTCCATTACTCCAATCATGGATCGCAGGCATTCACTGTGTGCCGACTACAGGTTATCAATAGCGAAAATAAAGGAGTAATATACGATCGACGATGTGGTTGGATCAAACACAACGAGAACAGGGAGACTTGTACTCTTACCGGTGAGTATATACGCTACTCGCTATGTATTCCTATTGGCCGTCTACAGACTTGGACAACATGTCCACCTTCTAGACCCAAGATATTCATTTACTAAAGAAAAGAAGGTCAGCTGTGATATACAAACAAATCAGCAGGCAAAAATTTCTTGTTGTTTAACAACTTACTCGACTCAATCGGATCGAATCGAACCGTAGACACTTTAACATTACGATTGTGTTTCCAATTAGCATAAAAGGGTCCCTTCGGCAGTTACGCGTCTTGTTCTCTCATAGTTTTCTGTAATCGATGGGTCGATTGGTCGCAGAACTCAAAGATCTCATTATTCTTCTGTTATACTTATGTAGTTTGAAACACTAACACACAAGTAATCATACTAACCCGTTTTCGCGATGCAAAATAGAGCATTATAGTAGTAGAAATGTCCACTTGTTACTGACTTTAGATCCCCAGTTGCCTTTGAAATGGGCAAGCAGCTCTATTAATTAACAGAAAACCAATTGTGTTACGAAGTGCAGATCGGCTACAGCAGCATGGTTACAGTATAGTTGATAGAGTCTTACCACTATAGCCAAGCGACTGCCATAAGTTCTATGAGACAGCAGGAAACTTAAAATGACCTCCGTTAGGCTTCACTTGAAACTGCTAGTGCAGAAACCTATCTATGCTCGAGTTTTAACCTAGACCACCATGTCTCCATAACTTTACGACGCAAACAAGCTGTAAGTTCATTATCACGGGCCAATAATACTGCAAACAATACTAGCTCGAGATAACTTTATATATTATGAATAATAAACTTCTGCAGATAAACTCTCTTTTGACAAAGAGCCAGCGGCGTTCATTTGACAAAACACGTATGCGTACTTTTTAACATTACATATAGCAATATTTTATTATTTTTTTAAGCTTATATTACTATAGATGTTAATATAGAACATATAAGCATTTAATATATTTCTCTTTGACAAGTACCTGTCTCAGCTAAAAAGTTTAGCTTGACGAACAACACTGTTTTTTTGAGCGGATTTCTCGATTAAAAGTATAGATACGATCATACATTATTAGGACTTCTCTAGTCCAAGGGGTGATTTCCTGACTGTTTGCTAAAAATCGCCGCAGGATACCAACCATAGTAGTAACAATAATTATGTTAGTAATTTACTGACCAATTCTTCATAAAACTGGGAAAGAATGATTTAAAACATGCGCCTCTATGTGGTTCACCCAATCATCTTTTTAGATCGAGCTACATGTCATCTAAGTTTCTCTTGAAGCGAAAATTTGAAATCGGCGCGCTCATGGATACTTAGTGTGTTGATCCATAAATTAGTACGGCCTCAACAAGGTGACCGCGGCTATGCAAAACAATTTCCGATAAACTCTTAATATGCAGGCTTCTGTACTTTTGTTGGAATGAACTTGTTTTTTGTAAGTTTTAATATGTCATCAAATTCAACAACGAACAAGAAAGTTATGGTCGTATAGGATGTTAGCAACGAGTCTCCATGATAGCTTCGTAGGTAATGTATTTGCGTGCTGATCTTAAGGACACGTTGTGGTCAAGCTTCAAATCCAAGCATAGACACACTTCGTTTCGGGCGGGGAGCCAATCTTCTGAGAGAATGTACAACGACGATGTCACACGAAACATAGAGAGGATATTAACAGTGAAGCCATGATACAAATCCTAGGTTCGGAACCGGTTGAGCATTCGCAGCGGAACGAGGTGCGTTCTTGACCGACTTTGAACCCGGGCACCCCCGTTATTCCCTTCGGGTACCAAACAAACGAGCATTTTGCCGTTATGTGATTAGAAAGATATCGAAATGTAGAATATGATGTGGCTGAGTGGGTTGCGCTGCTTTTCTACGAGACTCTGAGCAATTGGATCTGAAAGTAATGTCAGGTTGTTGGATTTGTTTTGCTTGAACTCTCACATGATAGAACTATTCAAACTAGCTAAATGTCAATCTTTGTATTTTATTGAACATCTATATAGTGAAACAAAGTAACTACTTGATTATTTAACTATGGTTCTTTGTTTCTTTATATAATCACACCTGCCATGTAATTTCTCGCTACAATCAAAGAATGTAGTATGATCCTGCATACACCAAACCAGATTTTCTAAAACAAACTAGAAGCAAATTTTTTATAAAAGTTACTACATTGAATGTATTTAGGGCACTATCTGTCAGGGTGAGCAAGGGTTAGATAGAACACAATGCTATCGATAGTTAGAAAGCGAAAAAAAAAAAATAGGTTACTCCAGATCACATCTGGGCCTAATGAACGCACTAGTCACATATGTACAGACATCTTATAATCGTATTTATTCCGTTCGGAATAATCACGGAACAATTTATGGATTTATAGATAACCCCGATAATTTTACGGGTTTTAGTTGACTCGGGTTGGCTGTAGAAGACTGTGCTTATGGTGATACAATTTCCCGTCACTTCAAAAGTGAAATAGTACCTTTGAATGTGTCAATTTGGGCTATTCAAAAGCCAGCTTTTCGCTGCCCACAAGAACTTAATGGAGTCGTAGACGATGTTTGTGCTGGAAAGCTACGAATGGGATGATTATGACGTGTCGTCTGCTCTAGCCAAGATCACAGCTCTTTTCCGGAAGACACGCATTTTTTTTCTAGGCTTCGTTGAACGACTGACTAAAGTTAAGCAAGTTAAGCGTAGCAATTTAATAGTTGTTGTAAACACCACAAAATGGAAGGGTCTTTGGAGGACGTTGTCATAATTTAGTTTTTCTCGTGAAAGTAGTGGTTCTCAACAATCGCATTAAGTCAACTTTGCTTTATACTATTAAGGCTCTAACTTAATTAGTAATAATCAACATGAAGTATCTACAGAGTGGAAACCTTGAATGAAAAAGATTGCTTAATTAAACACATATAAACTATCAGATACAATATATAGACATATATATTGTCCCGTGAGGAAATGCAATCGTTATTACACAATTACATGCGAAAACTACAGTAGTTTCTTCAGGTGTCTCATTTGTGCCGAGATTTTCTCGTCTATTGTCGTCTCTTATTGTTTCTTTCAGCCAATGTGCTTTTATGGACCTTTTGAAAGAGAAACAATTTGGAAAATGTTTAAAGATTCTTTGTTGATGAAATCCTAAGGTTATTAGATGATGATTTTCATTAGATCATGTTTATTTCGTGATGGCTCATCCTCATTGACAACAACTTATAAAAATAGCTTATTTTTTAGATTTCGTACGGTCCTTCTGTTACCAATAAAGGTTGCAGATGTATTTATTGATAAAACACGTTAATAATAATTGGTCTGACCACGTGTGGTTTGCATTCACACGTCTTCATCCATTAAACTACTTATGGAGCTGAATGACGAAGCTGGTTCTGAGTAGCATTTTGTTTAGGTTTATTTATTATGGCTCTTGATTTTTCACTCAGTTTTGATCCGTCTAGAAAAATAAAATAGGACACTAAAGGTCGTGCATCCTATCGAACGAAACCGAAACATTGCAAGTTCTGTTAACGCTGCAAAAGGCTTTCAACGAACAGACTCAATCAAGCTGTGAGTGGTGCCATCTGATGTGCGATAGATGAGATAGTCTTGAAGACGGTTTTTGCCTTGGGTGACAGTGACGAAAACGTGGAAAGAGCAAGGTAACTGGTGCTGACAGATCGCCGACATAACATTAGAGAGATTGTGCAGGAATCAGAGATTTCATGTCGCATCATTTTTAAAGCTATTCGGAGAGCAAAAGACTTACCACATTAATTGTTGATTTTCAAGCGAGTGTAGATCAACAAGTATCCCAAGAGAATTTTGACGCGCTCAAAATGGACCCGAATCTTCTTGAACGTGACATTGCACACAGCGAAAAGCGATTTACGGAGACGGCGTAACCGTATCACTTCGAAATCGAATCCAGACCGACCAGTGCCACGAGATTTTTACTCTACCGATTTTTCCATCGACTATCGGGGGTTTTGTATTGTGGTGAGTCCTTCCTCTGTGCCGAGCAGCTGAAGAAAGTACTTGAGATGATCGAGCAAATCCCGGAAAAACTACAACAGAACTAAGGTTTGATTAAAGGTGAAAGGCTATTTTGAATTCGAATATTTTCCATAAGCTAGCAAATAGAAAGCTCCTTAGGAGGCTTTTTGCTGTCGACATCCGGTGTATCGATTCTGCTTGACCTATTCATATAAACACGTTTGCTAAGCTCGTGAATTTGGTTAGTTGATTGCGATGCGCGGTCTCGGCCAATTCCACCTTTCGTTGCCGGAGGGCGCCACGTTTCGCAGCGATAATGTGCGCGATGTTTGACGCTCTGTGGTCTAACAACCGCTCTACCATCCCTTAAGAGCATTATTGCTGCTTTTATTTCGATCGCCGGCCAATCGCGTAAACGAGTCCGGACCGTTTCGCTCAGCCGGAGTGTCGAACGACCGTCATAACAACAACGGCAACGATTCAGCGCGACGACCAAGTGCATCGAATAGGCAGAACTACTCTGCCGAAAGCAGCTGATGCTTCAGTTACGCCGCCTGCTGGTGGCGCTGGTGTGAGCCACCACCGCCAAAAAGACCGACGTCCGACGGTCACTCGCAGCGACAGCGGTTGCAGCGACAGTAAATCGAAGTAGTTCGCCGTGCTGAGTCGATCCATAGTGGCTGTACAAGCAGCAGTAACAAGGAAATGAGCTACAATTCTATGTCGTCGTTGGCGATCGCTAGCAGCAGCGGCTTGTATTGTCTACAACTGGACATTCGCTTTGTAGGGAAACATAGAAACCTGTTGACTTTCCGCCATGTCTCTTAGCAGGGCTGTCGCAATCGGTTCTCTGATTGACTTTGGACTCGCTAAGTTGAACTGCAGTGATTTTTCCGGCGGGCGGTATGTATATATCATTGTGCTTATAATATGCAGGTAGTGAGAAGCAGCTGTACGACGGGGGCTCCAAACGGAACTGATTACCAGTGGGCAGTCTGCAACGAACG